TTTCAGACCTAGGAAAACTTTATCATTCATAGCCCTGGATTTAAATCATACATATCAAACTGAAAAGGTCTGAATTCAGTCAGATGACACACACATAAAAAAAATATATATATGGATCTGTTTCTTTTCACTTAGTCTCTATCATATTGAAACCAAATAGCATCCATTAAAGTCTAAGGTTGTAAAGTGACACAATGTGAACGTAAACAAAAGGGATTGAGGCTTTTATAAGCGAATACAAATCAAGCATATTGAGTCAATGCTTTGACAAAAGGAGACAACAAAGAGCGTTGGGTTTGTAGTGTTTAGCACTGCGCCACATGTTCCTGTGATTTAGCTGCTGCTAAGCTGATGAGGGATTTGTGAGAAACAAGAAAAAGTGGGTCTCACTATTATCACAACTTCTTCCTCTGGCTTGAAAATATAGTCATTTCGTAAAGAAATCTGATTCCTGCCAAGCACAGCAGGAGGTCCTTCTGCACTGGAGACTGGTGGACAATTTGCCTTTTTGCTTAATAAACAGAAAGCAGGGAGAAAACAACAATAATGTCCTTTAAACAGAGCATCGGATGGCTTCTGTCAGATATCTGAACATATTTACCGGTCAGCTGTCAATCAGATTATCTTTAAATCTGCATGGGAATCTCTTTGCTATTACAGATCAACACATGTTGCGCCTTTATCCACCCAACTCCACATTCATCATACATAAACACACGCTGATAATCCACAGATAATAACAAAACGGTGGTGATAAAAATCAGGGTTATTGAGAGTTAAAAGTTAAAACTGGAGATTTGAGGATTTTTTTGTTGTTATTTTACTGTTTTACAGATTCCCAGCAGTTTATAGCTCTATTCCTAATAAAGAGAGTGTTTCCACAAAGTGTTTGAACGTTTTATTAATGTTTATAAATCTAGAGCTATTTTCTTTTCACAGAATATTTCTAATTGAAAAAAGATGGTTTTCTATGGTGTAAGATAACTCTCAATAAAATCACATGAAATTCACTGAATTTGGAAATGTGTTACTTATCAACTTTCATATGTGTGATATAACATCTTTCAGCTTTAGAGGTTACAAAGCTTACAAAGATATAGCTTTACAAAAATATACGTATGAAATCACCATTTTAAAAATACAAACTTGTACCACTTGAATCCAGTTTACTTTCTCCATTCACGTCTAAGGACAATTCAGAGAAGCCAATTAACCTAACAGTCATGTTTTTGGACTGTGGGAGGAAGCCGGAGTACCCGGAGAGAACCCACGCATGCTCAGGGAGAACATG